GTACGGGTCAGAATTTGAACACCATTCTGTCGGATATATGAGATGCCCTCACGATTCAAAATATCGGTGCCTATAATGACCGGAGTACTGATGCAATTGTGGGGTACCACATAAAAATCGGCTTCGATAGATATGTGCGGTAGCTCTACAATTAATGTCACAAACGAAGTACATTCAATAAGCTGACTTCCTTTGCTACGCAAGGCGCGATATATTGGTTTTCGGTTAGCCTCAAAGAGTTTTAACAAGGAACTCGATACGAGTGATATACAGGAACAACCGTCTACTAATAAATCAATCGGTATGCCTTCGATTACCGCGCTTGTAACATTAATTGTCGATTACGAAACGTTACTGTCTAATTTACTACAAAAATTAACATTGTGTGGGTTGAGTTTTTGTAGACTATGAACGTTGTTTGATAAAACAGTTACTAATTTCATGACCATTCTTTTTGCAAAATAAGCATGTTACAGAATTTTGGGACTGCGTGTTAGACGGTGACGACCCCAAACTATTACCTAGTCGCGTTCTTTTAGCACTCATACAGTCCGTACGTTTATGCCCAAACCTTCTACACAAGTGACATTTTAAATCACCAACTCCCTTTTTATTTTCATTTCCTCGGGTAATGGTCGATCCAAGACTAGAGCGCGATCCACAAGATATATCGCGGGTAGACGGAAAATCATTTTTTGGTTTTACGTACATCGACAAAAATTGCACTAAATCGTTGGGTTGTAGCTTTGCATTAGTAGCTCCAGCTTTAAAGTGAGGATTTGTGATGCCTCTCAATACTATAGCAACAATTAGTTCGTCAGATAGTCCCTTAACCAAACCCAACCTTAATAATGAACGTCTAGCGTATTCGGCGTAAGTGGCGTAACTTTTAGAATCTTTGGTCATCACTTCGTAGAGAATAGATGCAATATCGATGGTTCGCGGGCACAACATTTTGAATTCTCGTTTGAAATTCGACCATGAACGATCGGTGCTAGAACACTCGTTAAGCCACACACGTGCTTCTTCCTTTAAAAAATTACCGATTCGCGATAGACACTAGTTATCGTCCCATCCGTTAGTTTCCTTAGCCCTATCGACCTCTTCGCACCAAACGTCGATATTGTGAAGATGAGGGTCAAATTTAGAAATATAATAATTATTAGACCTTACTTTAACTAGCGAAGTGATGGCCTCCACGATTCTGCCAGTTGTGTCCCCGCCTGTGGCAATGCTCTCCTGTGATAACAAAACAGGTGAGCGGCCTGCTGTCGAATTGCCGTCATGTACATCGTCGGTGGCTGCGAGCGCGCTGGTGAGCGCGGGCAGCACCGAACGCGTGCCGACCCCGAAGATGTTGATGCGGCCTGTAAAAGTGGCTCGGACAGCGGCGGCGGTAAAATAAAACGTTCCTCGAGCGTATTCAATCTAGCAAGGATAGCATCAAGCACATCCTTATTCGACTCACGTTTGCGTTTACGAGAATGTGATCGTTGCTCAGACATTTTGAAATTTATAAACCGAAAACTAAACAAAAGAAAAGTACGAAATCGTTAAAATTTAATTACAACACTAATCTTTTTAACTTTAATTTTAGTCAGGTGTTCCGAAAGCGGGTAGGCAACGAAGCACTATCCCACTTCTGATATTACAGATTAGTGGTTAAATTCTTAATAAAAATGCACTCAAAACAAAACTTGTAATATAAATCTTTTATAACACTTTTACAATATTAATCAGCAATTAATGATTTAAGGTAATATCTAATTCCTAGCACAACCACTCTCTCCGACCGTTCGAGCCAAAGTGACCCTGCCACCTGCTACGGCGACCGGCTTTCTGGGCTTGAAACCCCACAACCGCGGTGACGCAATCATTAGCCACGCCCCCTGTCTGGTCATCGCGTAACAATATATATATATATATATATATATATATATATATATATATATTTTTTTTTTTTTTTTTTTTTTATATTTTAAATGGTGGTGATGTAATGTTTCATTTCTGTTCATAATGGTTATGAAGTATAATAATCAAACATTAAATTTATGTTATTTTAGGAAGTTTTACACTATTTATTTTTACACATTTAATTTTATCGAATAATTATCAGAAAACAAGAATTAATTGAGTATATTTCTTTCGAATTGAATTTTAAAATAACAATTTTGACAACCCGGCGCCTAGTAAGTGGTTTCTCTGCTGGGTGATTGTAGATCCAGCGTTTAAAAATAACCGCTCACGGGATACTGATATTTATGCGATAGGCAAATAGATCTTAGCTAGGCTGTGAAGCAGGGGAAATAACCCTTTCATGCCATTGCACATATTCAACGCATGTAATATATGAAACTCCTCCTCTGCTTTAGTGTTATTTATTATGTTGTGGTGCGTTAATTCTTTATGGTAGTTCCATATGTCACCTTCAGTATTATCGCATTTTCTGAATAACCATTCATCCATCGAAATCAATATTTCAGAAAAGTGATTGTAACGAAATTCGAAGCACCGTAAGTCGATAAAATAATTTCCATTACAAAATAATTATTACCTTATGTAACTGTACTTAAGCTATTGATTAAGTTAAAGCTCGAACAATATAATTATAAATTAGAAAATGAATTAAAATATTTCAATCCATTTGCAATATTTGTAAACTTATAGCTATTATTAATTAATTATCACAATAAAAATAACTACAATTTTACATCTACAATGGAATTACCGATTGAAGAATATTGCTGTTTGTTGATTCGTAATTGAAAATTTTCGAGATTGGGTTATTTCTGCTAAATAAACCTGCTAATAAAAATTTTGACGTTATCTAACTTTGACATTTTTTTTCGAATACCTATTTATTTTTCGAAGACATAAAATTCGTGATAATCATCGTTCTCAACTTTCAACATACGGAATTTTATACTTTCGAATAGTTGGTTATTTCTTAACCTTTGATGGCATGCCGGTACATCGTTCATAAAATGTCGCTCATAACGAACCGTTTTTATAAACGATATACCGATGATTGAAAGAATTGATGTATCGTTTGCATCTCTAGCCGCGCATTGAATAAGTTTCCTAACTGCCCTTTTGTTATTACACTGCACTGTGGCAAGGGTACTGCAGACCGGGTCCACTTTGACGCCCTATTTAGGGATCCTTACACCCTTACTCTTAATACACCATCCTGATTAAGGGCGTAGGGACCCTGATTCTGGGTAGTGTAATAGGCGTATAAGTAAAAACTAAGTAGTACGATACATACCGTAAGAAAAATATCGATGTCCGAAAACATCGACGTTTTAGGTGACAAAATAAACAATCTTGGATTATTTTATCTTTTCAAAATGTTGCAGTATCTATAAAAAATTAACATTTCCAGTAATTTTGCGGTACACTCTGCAAAAATGTAACTTTGTCATAAGTTTTCCTTTTAATGTGTGCCTTTCTTGACATAGACGTTGATCAGCATTTGAATAAAGCCTTTTTGAAACTGTTGAAGACGCTGTGCGGCACAAACCTTTAATGGCTACTTTATTTAATTTTGGATAAGTGCATAAGTGGTAAAAGAGCGACTAACACTAACTAGAAACACGCGTGACAGAAACTAATGGCCTAGCCCTAAAGTATATCGATGTTCCAAGATTATTCCTCAAACATCGATGTGTCGATGTTTTCGAGGCCTTAACATCGATATAAAACATCGATGTTTTCCCGCTAGATATCGATGTTTATTTTTTTATTGTCTCCATCACCATCGACGAATATCGATTAACAATCATTCCTAATATTTACTTAGACTAGTATATAGTGATCTGTGCTCCACAGCTGGAAGGGAACACGAACACTAGACTTAGTTAATTAGTTTTGCACCACTATATAGGTCCCTAAGTAATCTTTATAGGGTCGATAAATTAATAACTATAGTTTGTGCCAAATCGATTGAGAAAAACGGACATTGACCTTTTGGTCGTTTAACCAGAGGCTACAAACCTTCAATATATAGGCACTTTTTATATGTAGTACTTTATTTATAATGATTTATTATTATTATTTTTTAATACTTGTTGATATAATATATATTTATTAACTACTATTAAAAAAATTATGTAAAAGATTGCCGTAGAAGAAATATCATCTATTGTTATAAAGTACTTTATTCATTTAACACGCACGTACGTACTTATTCAAAAGATAAAACTTTATTTTCAATATTATATAGGAACTTTATTTTTAATCGGTGTAATCATCGGCCCAAAAAAAGTGATGCTTCTCTGGCTGCCATTGTCACGTTTCTTTTAGAACGAACTGACGTAACGCGCGTTTGTTTATTTAAAGGGATGAATTTGAAAAAGCTTAATATGGTGATTATATTGCTTCAAATATTTTTTTAAATATGAAACTGTTATTAAATGAATTGCTGTGTACCATAAATTGAAATATAAATTATAACACATTTTTCGTGATGTACCGTAAGATCTTACGATGTTTATAGGAACCACAGACAATATTATTTACGAACAACAAAAAAACAAAACATTTGTGTTGCCCTAGAAGTGTGAATAATATCGATATTTAAATAATGTTATCACATCTAAATTGAGATTTTGTAAGTTACGCCTTTTAACACTCTGCTCATATCTGAGGTCATCGTCCGTTTTTCTCAATCGATTTGACACGAACTATAAATGTTCGTTCTAAGTGTTCGAATAGTCCAATTTTACAATCGAATGGTTCGAATAATGAGCAATTCGATTTGTATGAACATTCGGACAAATGAAAATCGCATACATCTCTAAAATTCCTTCAAGGTTTATTTTCTTTTTCTAGCGTTAGCGTATATTACTTGAATATTATCAATTTATTGAGATTTGTGTTTCAAATTATTTACATTTCAAGGAAATTTTATAAGAAAATATTTATGATCAATCGAATTTAGTGTTTCAGATTTACTTGATGACATTTTGTTACCGTTCTTACACTTTCATTCAGTGCAAATGGATGATACAGTAGTTTCTCCAGGTACAAAGAAAATTAAACCTGCATACGTATCGATGATAAACATATGAGAATATTATTTTTAAAGATAACCTTTTTTAGGTAACAAAATGGGAGATTCGGCATCCGAAAGCGATTCTAGTTCTCTTGATGGCGGAGCTATGCTTCCTCCCAGTACGGTGTCTCGCGATCAGTTGCAGAAAAGAATTGAGTCGCTGCAGCAACAAAATAGGTATTTATATATTGTAAAATTTTAATTTATGCAAAGTTAACTTTTATATTACCGTTACCATCGAGATCGATGTTCATATAAAAATATGTTTATGTAAAAATTACATTAATTATAATATCAAGATTTGTTGAATTGGAGAAGTCTACATACATTGAAACTGACTTTATGATTTAAATGTTATAAGTACAATAAAGTTAAAAATGCACATTACATTTAAAACTTACTAGGCCACAAGATACTCTTATCATTTCTCATTTGTGTGCACAAGTTAAATAAATAGAAAAATATATAAATACAGAAGAAATGGAGAATATAGAAAGAAGAATTATCTTGTTGGATCAAACTGAAATGACTATCATCATTGTTATTTCATTAACAGTGTATCTTCACAAAATAAGCTGACTAATTCACATAGATTAATATAATTAATAAGCCTACTATAATTCCCTATGAAATTTTAAAATTTATAATAATGTTAAGAAAAACTAAATGTAATTTACACATATCTCAACATATAAGCTACATCATGAATATATGTGCATTAGTAGCAGCTTTTCACTCCTGTGTCTACAGTTCTCTATACTCACCATGTAACACAGCAGTATTAAGTTGGTATTCTGTAAGAGTGTTGTTCTTCCCGTGTCGAGCAGGAGGCATTTAATTTTTAAAATTGTGCTTTATCTTGTTATATGGACAGGTCAAACTTGCTTATATGTCACTTAAGAGAAGTAAACAACATATTCACTGTCTAATGGTTTATTGCAGACTGTTTTTACAAATATAATGCAAAGTGTGATTTAACTTTATGCGTACAATATAACATACCACCCGCCAAAAAGGGCATGACCCTTTTTATAAATTCATTATATCTACAATATGTAATAGTACAAAAATATTTAGACATAGTTATTCAAATGTTATACATTAACAAACAATTAAAAAAAAACATGAATAAAACTCAATTATAATCAATAGGCATATGGCACAGTTTTAACACACTTCTTTTAATAACACTATCACCGCACTTTGGACTGTAAACTCTTGTGACTCCATCTAATCCAGGATGTTTGGCAAGTATGCGACCCAGCATCCACTTTACAGGTGGCAGTTTATCTTGCTTAATGAGAACAATTTCATTGATAGCAAATTCCCATTCCTTTTTAAGCCACTTTGGTCTTTGTTGCAACCATGTGAGATATTCATGCTACCATTGATGCCAAAAGTCACCTAAGAGTTTTTGAGTGTATCACCAAATTCTACCAAGAGAAGCCATAATTTAAAAGAAGAAGAAGAAGTGTATCACCAACATGCTTGTAGGCTAATTTTTGCGTCACATAAGTCTGGAGATGGGATAGAAATAGGAGCTTCACTGATCAAAAAATGGATTGGTGTTAATGGGCTTATATTGTCTACATCAGATTGATCAATAGGTGCTAAGGGCCAAGAATTTAGGCACACTGCAATCTGGCACAAAAGAGGACTCTCTTCAAATGTCCTTTCATGGATTTAACCCCCGCTTCCCATAAACCACCAAAATTAGGGCTATAAGGTGGAATGAAGTGCCACTGGGTGCCTTCCAAAGCCAAGGCACTTGTAATTTGATTTTTTATATTTAAATTAGCTTCATTCAAATCTTCTGACAATTCTCTGTTTGCTGCTTTGAAAGTTCTGCCTTGGTCACTCCACAGTCACAGTTGAGCACAACGTCCTCCGTGATACAAAATGCCTAAAAGCCCCAATAAAAGCTTCTGAAGTTAAATCGCTTACAAGTTCAAGATGGATGGCTTTAATAGACACACATATAAAAATAGCTATGTAAGCTTTACTTGTTCGTATACCCCCTATATCCCCTTTGACATCTTTGTAAGAATGGGCATGACGGGTTAACTCATTCAGTGGGTAGATCACCCATAATTTGTCCTTTTGCCTTGGCTCCATCCATTATGTTGTCCATTTAGATATTTGAGATTTTATTACACCTTTCGTGCTTATAATCCAGTACTTTGTTCTTAAGTATGACAACATTTTTTGTACATTGTACTCCACCGTGCAGCGTCTTTTTATGAGCGTCAGCTACAATGAGTGCTGTCAGTGAAGATTTAGCATCTAAAATAATTGGAAATTTACTCTCTTCACTAATATTTGCATGCCGTAGTCTTCCTCCTACTCTAAGAATCCTTTCTTCATCAAGAAATGGATTTAGAGATTTTAAGCGACTATTTCTCCGAACATATTTACGATCAGTAATTGTTTTTATTTCATCATGAAAATCCTCCACTTGTGCCTTCTTTATACATAAATTTACGGCTTGTTGTAATTCTTCAGTTGTAATGCCGTTTTCATTGTACTCTCGCCTTTTGAAATTTAAAAATCGTCTGCTGTATACAATTATCTTAAGAAGTTCTTCAAATGAGTCAAAACACTCAAAGTTCAAAAACTGGTTTGTATGGTCATTTTTTATTTCTGTAATATTTAAATTTATTTTAATTAATTTTTTATCCAATTGTGTTGAAAGTATGTTAGGTCTTGAAAGTATTATTTCTTTCTGTAACAACCATGGTGGTCCATGCCACTATAACTGATTTGTGAGAAGAACTTGAGCAGAGGAACCTCTTGACGCAACATCCGCTGGATTGTCCTGAGTTTTCATGTGGTACCATTGGCAATTTTTAACATTCTCTGTTATCTCAACAACACGATTTGCGACAAATGGCTTCCATCTATTTGGTTCGCCAATAAGCCATGCTAAAACTACTGAAGAGTCAGTCCACGCAAAAACTTGTGTGGAAGGTATTCTCATCACTTCAGCCAAGTGATCAAGAAGTCTGCAGTCTGTGAACACATACAGGATCACCCCCGTCACTACATCAGATTTGATAGACCGCAAATCCTCGCTAAAGAACACCGATTCCTTCCAAGGATGATTAGCGAGGCTATTGAAATCAAAAAACATCCCAATTTCAATAGAGAAGATGGCTGGGTACTACCATCTGCTTGGGATCCTATAATAAATAAAATTAAATCCCAACCCAAACATACAACTGCTAGACTTCAAGATACCATAAGTTCATACTGCATAGATCGGAACAAAAGTTAAATTTTAATCTATGGTAACCGCGGTTAACTATGACATATGGACGTTGAACATCTCAGTCCGGCCTGTGACCATGAGTGCTGTAAAGCGTTCGAAACGTCGTGTATTTAAAAAGTTAAATATACGCGATAAATTCCGTAAAAACTAGTATTATTTCAAAGTTGCACCACATAACTCAAGACGAGGCAAAGAAATAGTTTCTACCGGAGCCACCTTGGTTCTGGCAGCTACAATGCTTGTCTGTGCAATATCGTTTTCATCTACTGTACAATACACGACTGCAGATATTGCCTTTATAAATGCATCACAGAAACTGTGTAGTGATGTGGTTTCTTTATTAGCGGTTTTCGTATAAATCCAACATTTCATTCGCATTTGATTGACATTATCTAGATCATAACGTATTGTCAGCCACTCTTTCCGTAATTCTTCGTCTATATTGTCATCCCAGTTTACTCCTTCTAACCATAGCCTTTGAATAAGTATTTTAGCCTTGATAATTACGGGTGCTATCCATCCTAAAGGATCAAACATTCTTTGTACATCTGGTGGTAAAGTCACTGTGTATTGAAAATCATCTTCACCTAAATTCCATGTCAGGCCGAGTGCCTTTACTGTGCCATCGATTTTAATATTCAAGCTAGCTCTTGTTGATATTTCACTTGGTTTTAATGACCTTAACAAATCAGCACTATTTGATATCAATTTCTGAAGTCTGAAGCCGCCTCTCTTAAGAATAGTTTTTAATTGTACACATACTTCTATGGCTTGTTGAACAGTATCACACCCAGACATTAAATCGTCTACATAAAAGTCCTCACGTATTATTCTTGCTGCATTTGGATAATCTTTGGCTTCATCATCTGCAATTTGCAATAAATTTTTGACAGCTAGATATGGTGCTGATGCTGTACCAAATGTAACTGTCAACAACCTGAAGTCCTCTATTTCGTTAGATTTTGATGAATTATCTCTCCACATAATTCTTTGAAAGTCTGTATGTTCCTTTTTTAACAATATCATCCTATACATTTTTTCAACATCGCTTGCGAAATAAATTTTGTGCATCCGCCATCTCATAATGATACTTCTTAAATCTTCCTGTAAAACGGGTCCTACTAAGAGCTCATCGTTAAGAGATATTCCTTGAGAATTTTTACATGAAACGTCAAAAACAACACGCATTTTGGTTGTTTCTTTGTCGGTGCATACGACAGCATGATGAGGCAAATAAACTGCGCACTGGGTTATTTCTTGTTTAGGAATCCTTTCCATGTGCCCCATTGTAAGATATTCTTTTATGACCTCCTGATATTTCACTTTAAGATGTCGTATTTTATCTAATTTTTGTTCTAGCTCTAAAAATCTTTTCATTGAAATTTCTCTGCTATTTCCTTTATGTGCTTTCCTTCGGGTTATCTACTTTAAATGGTAATTGAACTATGTACCTTCCTTCTCTATTTCTCAAACTATTCTTAAATATTTCTTCACATTTCTCTTCATCCTTCGTATATCTTCTTTTAGGAGTTGAATCTACTTCCCATAACATTTTCAACATATCATCTACTTCGGTTACTTGGTGCATCACTATCATTGTTTGCTCTTCTTGTTGTACATTGTCGTTTACGATCCCGAAAACAATCCAACCCAGTGTAGTATTTTGCGCACAAGGCGTTCCAGATGGACCTTTGATGACTTCACTCTGCAAGATTTGTGCATATTCATTTACTCCTAACAACAAATCAATAGATCCTGTTGTGTGGAAATTTGGATCTGCTAAACTAAGTCCTTGGAGATGAGGCCATTCGTAAAACGCAATTGATTTTGTGGGGATTTTTAGTAGTCAGTTGTTTTGATATGACATACGCTTTTACCTTGAGGCTGAATTCACCTTGATATTCTGATACCTGAACTACTTGATTTATTTTTGACATTACAGATCCCACACCAATGTTTCCCTTAACTTTATACCTTTTAGCTTTTATAGATTGAGCTGCATGTTCACTAATTAAACAACCCTGTGATCCCGGGTCAATGAGGGCTCTTAATACAGTTGTGTATCCATCTTCACTCAACTGTACGTTGTTAACATACTGTCACTACTGCGGTACCCAATAAAACTGTATTCCTCATTGCTTGAGCTTGTGACGTCATCATTGTATTGATTTGAAGTTCTTCTGTTTCTTCAACATTTGTATGTAAAACCTTCGGTTGTGTTTCCTTCTGCTTTTCCTTGGGGACTCGTAGCTCGTGAATGATGAAGAAGAGAGTGATGACATTTGTGACAAATCCTGCATGTGCTGGATGAACGACAAGCTTTGACTGGGTGACCAGGAATTAGACAGTTAAAACATATGTTTTTTGTCTTTACTAATTCACTCCTCATTGTTGATTTCATTTTACCAAAATTCTTACAGTGACATAGAGCATGATTCCCGTTGCATAATGGACAAACCCTCTCCGTAGTTGTAACATGATATGATCGCACTGTAGTTCTATCCTTTGTTGAACCTCGCGATAACAACTCGAGTGTTCGAAATTTCATTTCCATAAATTTTGTTAATGTCATCAAGGTGGGCTACTCATTGTCCATTTCTTTGCTTAAAAATTCTTCCCATTCCTTATGGGATTCCAAATCTAATTTATTTACGACCAGATAAATCACCATTGTATCCCAATGTTCGGTAATAACGTTTAGATTTTTCAAGCTTTTAAGACATTCGGTCGTAGCGTCGAGTAAAGATTTAATTTGACTTGCGGACTGACTTTGCAATTTTTTTTTGGTTAAACATTCGTTTTAGAATAGAGGTCACTATGAGTCGTTTATTGCTATAACGCTTTTTTTTATATATCCCATGCTTGGGCATAAATAGTTTCGGTTACCTGAATATGTTTCAATAAACTTTCGGCATCGCCCGTAACACTAGACTTCAAGTAATGTAGTTTTTGAACACAACTGAGTGTTTCATTTTTATCAACAAGCGTTAAAAATAAATCTTGAAACGTCGGCCAATCTTCGTAACTGCCAGAAAATGATGGTAATTGTATTCTGGGCAACTTGACTTGGGGAACTTCACGCTGCAACATCTTATTTTCACCAACGCCGGCTGATTGTGTAACCGTAGAATGTAATGAATCTAATAAGTCCTTCATATCCGCTTTTATTTGCATATAACTTTCTTCACACGAATAATACACGTCTTTATTAAAATATTCCAAGCGTTTTCGTTGTTCCTTAGGCACAGTGTGTAGTGCAGTCTTAAAGGAGTTCCAATAGTCATCAAGGCAGTTAATTTTTGTTTCTAAATAGCCCTTAGTTAGACGTGCCTTTGGACATTTTTTAAAGTTATCGTGGATTTTAACAATACAACAGTGCAAATCTTCAAGTTCACTTAAAATTTGGTCCGTGGTTTTTCCATGTTAAATATTGAACAATACGACGGTTATTCACTTTATTTGTACACTAATAACTTTAATGCAACTCGTTTTGTATTAGCGTCCAGGCTCTTTTGTTCTCCGACTCGACGTTATCAGTCGTCTATTCAATAAAAATCCGGCTCGATGCAGGCCACTATGTGCTTTATCTTGTTATACGGACAGGTCAAACTTGCTTATATGTCACTTAAGAGAAGTAAACAACGTATTCACTGTCTAATGGTTTATTGCAGACTGTTTTTACAAATATAATCAGGGTTGCCGTTCTACAAATTTTAAAGTCCCTAGACTAACAGAAAAAATCCGCCAGAAACAGGATTTTTTTTCTTAAAATCCGCTAGATGTCCCTAGGTATATTTTGTGGTACCATTGGGCTAACTGAAAAATCTTGCCAAAAGGTCAATGAATAACGAAAATATAAATCTATAAATTCGACATCGAATTCGATTCGAGCGGACTCTATTCATATAAATCAGTTATTTATAGAGTAGGTAAATGATATGACAACCAAAACAAAAATTATTCATGTACAAAATAAAAAAATAAATTGTAAAAAAAAACTTTAATCTTTAAACCACGTTTAAACATTAGTCATCTTATTAAAAATAAAACAATTAGCTCAGTAGGTTCTTGTACCTAAATTTCAAAATTAATAGCAAATTATGGATCCAGATCTTCAAAAACAACTTCAGCGGAAGTTGAAGCTTCGCCAGAGTCTCCAGTTCCCATCTTTGGTTTGCCTTTATCGACTTGGTTGACAACATCTTCGGGAATATAATTTGTTGCGCAATTCTTTTTTAAATCCCTAACTGATTTCTAAACAGAAGAATAGTAAAGTTTTTTCTGATAGCTTGTTTCGCGGTTTTCTTTTAACTACATTCATAGCACCAAATAGGCGTTCAAATTCTGCATTTGAGTGCGGTAGTGATAATATTACTATTGCAAAATTAAATAAATCTTCGAGTATGTTTACTCCTGCTGCATTTTTGTATGTCGAAACGAGACCATGGTCTAAGGTCGAAACAGATGAAAGTGAATGAACGACATTGGATTGGTAGTTTATGTTCGGGAATTCTCGTGAAATTATATTATATAGGTAACACTGTATGTGTTACCAACTGTAGATTACAAAATTGGACATATGATAAATGACTTATTTGAATGAATTACTTTTTAAAAAAAGTCTCCATACCTACCACACCATATGGCCCTAAATATCTAAATTAATAAATATTCTGTATACTGCATATTTTGTATATCTATTACTAAAAAATGCAACACCATAGTTTCCAAAAATCTTTTTACATCAAATGGACATCTGATTAAGTTTTGAATTTAATAATAACTATAAATATTGTCCAATAACTTTTGTACTGTTATGTTGCTTATACCAATTGTTTCTGTTTATATTAATGATTTTATTTCATGTTACCTATAACCTTAATCAACAAATTACTATCTATCACTTTTCAGAGTGTTAAAAGTAGAACTTGATACTTACAAACTGCGTGTGAAGGCACTACAGGAAGAAAACCGTGCTCTGAGACAGGCATCAGTTTCTATTGTGAGTTATTTTTTGATATTAAATAAAAGTTATTATTTGATATTTATGAAAGTAATTTTAATTTTTACACATAATGATGAATGTATCTTTGTTTGTCTTGTATGCCTTCTTAAACTATTCATCTGATTATGATGAAACTTTGTGGTGTTGTTTTGTTCATGCCCGCAAAGGTTTCTAATAAAAAAAATAATATATTTTGTCTAGGGGGAATCGGCGTATCAGTACCGAAATCTATTCTACTGAAATTTTTTTACGCGATTCTCTTAAAATTGTCCTACTGATGATACGCCACCAATTGTTTATACCGATTTTTTTTTAATTACAAAGAATTAAAAATAAATCGATCAGTTTATATGTGGTAGAGCCATGCTGCAGCTATATTAGTAGTATAGTTGTGAGCACGAATGGTTCGGATCGTCTGGGGAAGGACCATACTCTCATAAAATACCAGCGTAAAATAACAGCTGCTGTGTTTCATATGGTGAGTGTAGAGAATCAGAGACCCTTTTTACTAGAAAGGATGCATTTCATCTTAGTCCTCACAGGTGACAACGCATCTGTACCATTTTGATTTGTAATCAAGGATAAATGTAAATGTCTATGGCCACAGCATCCAATTGCCATCGGTTGGACTGTGTTCTTGTTTTTCACCCTTATCTAAAAAGATCATATGACTATTTACGAAAACTTAATATTTTCTGAATTTTGAGTTTTTACAGGTTTGAAAAATCCCAAATTCGGATACTTTTGACTATAAATATTATAATAATATAAAAATTATAAATAATTTTTGTTTGTTCATTTTCTGTGCGTTACTTTAGCATTCATCTGATTACGATGAAACTGGTGAGTCGTTGCGCGCCCGCCCGTATATGTTTCTATTAAATTAGAGATTGTAATGCCGGCATGGGCACAAAGCTCTAGTTTAAATAAGTGACTAAACTGTCTGCTACAAAGTTAGTGTAAATCAGTTAAGCGAAAGTTTGTGTTGGTTGTAGTCTTACATAAATTTTACGTCTTGTTTATTTTTTAAAGCTATTGAAAGGTAATCAGAAAAATCACACAAAATTCACAGCAAATTTAATCAATCTGACATTAATTACTATTTTGTTCTTTGGCGACAAACTCTACTTTGTGCGACTGTTTTACTATAGACTATTATGTCTGACTTGAAACCAATGTGTGTGTGAATCTAAACCATTTTCAAATCATACACAAAATTTCGTAAAATCGGTCTATTAAGGAGGAGTTCAGTCATATACACATGAACATAAGAATTTTATATATTTCAGAAATTAGCTTTCTGCACTCTTCCATATAAACCTTTAATGTTCTCCAGACCGAATTTCGGCCACGGCGGCCTGCGTCAACGGAGGCTAGCCATCGGCGCAGGACAGGATTATAGTGCCCAAGTGTGCACAGGTGCACTCTATTCCCTCACTCTCGTAATCCGATGGGACGGTAAACCGAAACGACCGGGAGAGAGATCAGGCGCAGGACCAACGGCTTTACTTGCTTTCCGAGGCACGGGGGTGAGACACCGCCAACTTCCTGACTCCGGGCAGCTACTGCGAATTTCTTGACAGAAAAACTCAATAATTAATTTTTTGGCCCGATCCGGGATTCGAACCCAGGACCTCATGATCAGCAGTCGCACTACTACAACCACTAGACCAACGAGGCAGTTAATAGTTTAATATGCCAAATCTCGCGCGTATTAATATTAGATGTTGATAATGTTGAAAAAAAGTTACATTATTGCTCTATATTTTATAAAGCTAATAAAACAATGACGTAAGAACAGGTTGTGAAACACATTGTTTTGATTTAATATTATTTTTGACAGCGTAAGGCAGCGTTCTAAACGACTCTTTTGTCTAGAGCTGACAAACCGTTCGGAAATACAATAATATTGTGATGTGATTTTCTTATTCGTATCTCAGACGGTTTATAAGGCTATTGAAATTAAAAAACATCCTCATTTCAATAGAGAAGGTGGCTTGGTGTTACCATCTGCTTGGAATCCCATAATTAATAAAATAAAAAATCCAAATCTAAGCATACCACTATTATTATTTTAAGCTGAAGGTAGCTGGGCTAACTGTAACTTCGGGACGGCAATCACCTCAGTCCCCCCTGTGAACAAGGTGCTGTAATACATCCGAAACATCGGGAATTTAATTATTATACACGCGATAAAATCCGTGAAATTAGTTTTATTCAATGTCCAGTTCAAGTAAATATAAGAAATCATTATGTTAACTCTTGGTAAATTTATGAGGTACTACGATAGAAAAAAAAAACAGCGCCTGCCGAGCCATCTAGTATGTTTTTTTTAATAGGATAGGATGACAAATGAGCACACAGTCCATCTGATGGTAAGTGGTTGCTCTGGTCCATAGATATCTACATCTATCAGCAGATGCGTTGTCACCCGTGAGGACTAAGATGGAATGCCTCGTTTCCAGTAAAAAAGGTCTCCGATTCTCTACACTCACTCACCATACGAAACACAGTAGCTACTATTTGACGCTGGTATTCTGTGAGAGCGTGGTCCTTCCCCGGTCGAGCCGACCCATTCATGCTACAACTATACTACTAATATAACTGCAGCATGGCTCTACCACATATAAATGTATGTAATATATAGTACCCGGTTGACCGAGCTTTGCTCGGTATTTATCGCTCGATTTTTTTTTAATTCGTGTGTTTTGGAAATTATATTTAGATACAAATTACATACTGATGAAATATAAATAATATTTTTTGATCTTAGCGACATAACAGAAAAAACGGAACTGGTTATTTGAATAAAAAATCATGAGTGCAATTATTTTAATTTAAATTTTTGTGTATTTTAAAAAATACTAAAAAAAAAGGTTCGAAAAAATAGATTTCTCAAAAAAGAAAGGAACTTTAAAAAAAAAATTAAAAAAGTCGGTCCGTCGGTCTAGGCTGAAGGGGTTTACGATTCATTATACCAATTTTAAGCTATTTATAATCATTAACAATCTGTCAAAATTTACTTCTTATTCTAACGATATTGTAACAGTTTTTCATTGCCTAAAAACACGGACAAAAAAACATTTTCTAAAAATAAATCCTAGCTAGATCGATTTATTATCCCCGAAACTCCCTGGACACTAAATTTTATGAAAATCGTTGGAGCCGTTTCCGAGATCCCGATTATATATATATATATATATATATATATATATATATATATATATATATATATATATATATATATATATATATATATATATATTCTTTGTTAGACTTCAAATCAGTTTTCAGTTTCTGTCATCAATACCAATACTATTTTCTTTGGTGTTAATAAATCACCTCATTAAATTATCTTTATTATTAAGGGTATCTAATGAATAATCGACACTAGTACCTGTATCTAAATTTAAAAAAAATCTTGTATTGTGTCTTACAGCAAGCAAAAGCTGAACAAGAAGAGGAATATATTTCTAACACACTATTGAAAAAAATTCAGGCCCTGAAGAAAGAAAAGGAAACTTTAGCCCATCACTATGAAAGGGAAGAAGAATGTCTTACCAATGACTTGTCTCGGAAGTTGAACCAAGTATATTTACTTTTTATTATTTTCATTAGGCGTTTTTCCATTACATACTGACATACTGGTGTATCAAGAGCATAGCTACCGACAACCATACCATGTTAAAATAAATGCAAAATTTTAAGGAATTATAGGTATCTTACCAAGTGCCGTACCCAGCTGTGTAGAGACGGCATAAAAAATCTATTACATGTGGCGACAAATTGAAGGCTCGATGGCTTCGCTGTGGGTTCGAATACAGAAAGGGATATTTGTCCTTGTGAAATTTATGTATGTGAACTACTCTACATCTACGTCTACCATACCCCTACTGTTTGGCTAATTTTATTAAAAAAATAAGAGGGAAACTAAAACAGGAAACGGACAGCAGCATCTTCCTATATAACAGTTTTTCTTAAAAATAAATGGTTGTAGCCCACCTAGCATGGCAACTTTTTCAAATATCCTCTAGGTTTAGTATCTGGAGGCCTATGTTTAGCAGTGGGCTTTTGGTAGCATGGCAGCTACTTAATGGAAAAACGCCCGTTCATTCTTCAAAACGATTGAATAATATATATCCATTGATTGGTTCTTGTCATCCTTTTAAATCCTATTTTTATATCCATGTTTTTTCGAATATTAATTTTATTTTATATCAATTAGAATTTGTAGTTATAAGTTACTTTAAAGCCTTGTTTTTGTTACATTCTTAATACTTAACAGTGCTTAAGTATATACATATTCAATACTGTTTTGTATTTATTGTTTCTAATAGGTTTTATTAATTTATATTATGTTTTCTTTTAGTTGCGACAGGAAAAATGTCGATTGGAGCTTACTCTGGAGCAAGAACAGGAATGTCTGGTCAATAAATTAATGCGCAAAATTGAAAAACTTGAAGCAGAAACTCTTGCTAAGCAAACAAATTTAGAAAGACTCCGTAGGGAAAAGGTAAATATAACCTCATGCTTAAAAGTAACGTCGGGTTAATGATTTCACTTTTTGGGGATATTCTATTAATGGTTTAATAGTCGGAAGTAGGTAGTAGGAAGGAAAGTGGAGCGAGAAGGGGGAAAGGAGAAATCAAAGTACGAAAGACATACCTTGTGTCTGCAAAAAATCTCCTTAATCAGAGTAGAAGGAAATTCTGGAAGGGGAGATGATGAAAAGATGAGGAAACATTCCTCCAAATTAGTAATCAAAGCATAGAAAAGCTTAAGTTCTAGACAGTCTATCTTTTTGTTGGTCTAAGTAAACATGTAACACAGATATTATAGTTATTTTCTAAAAAATTTTAATGACAAATTAGCTTGCAATTTAAAACCCGAAAAGATTGCTATACCACCTAGTATTATTTAAAGATAATATTACTTTCAGGTAGAACTTGAAAATACATTAGAACAAGAGCAAGAGGCCTTGGTTAACCGGCTTTGGAAACGGATGGATAAACTTGAGGCTGAAAAACGTTCACTCCAAATAAGACTTGATCAACCAGTGTCTGATCCTGCCAGCCCTAGGTGAATTTGTTTTCAGACTATTGTTATTTCTTGTCACAAAACTCTTAAAAAATTAGTCAATAATCTGGTTAAAAATCCTATACATATTCTCCTTTATCAAATTATATTTTGGAATAAAACAATGAATGGTTCTTTTTGCCAGGGACATTAGTAATGGAGACACAGCTTCTAACTTAAGTAATCACATCCAGACATTGCGTTCGGAAGTTGTGAAATTAAGGTAAGAAGCCAATTTTAGGCTTTTTCCATTTTTGACTGTATTTTTAACATATATCACCCTAATTATTAATTACCTTTCTCCGTTAAAGGAGTTAATGAGCCTGTTGATCAAATTTATTAAAATAAATAACTAAAATAACTTATCATAATGCCAATATTCTATCTTTCTTTTATGGTTATGGACTTCACGGTTATACTTTTGCCACTGTCAAGTAACAAGAAATTATCTTCTAAGATATTTTATAAAACAGAGTCAAACAGTCACATTGCGAAGCTTTGAATGGCGACGCTATTCCTTATAGATGCGCGTACACTTAAGAGGGCATATGCGTTTCGCGTCGAAAACTACATGTTTTATGGTTTTTCCAAAGGCGATATCGTAACGAAGTGAGGAGATTATTTGCTGAAAATTTGGGCTTTAGAAAGATGAAGTCTTTATTTAGTACATAGCAATGCAAAAACATAGTTTTTAATGACGGTTTTTTAGGGCGAAGACAATCCCTTCACAGCGTTTTACGAAAATATGCATCTGAGTTATCTTTCAGGTTGAATACAACCATTATTATAAGCTAAAATACTTTATTTTAAGCGTTATTTTTTTTTTAATCTTCGTTTTTTTCCTGTATTTGGTTTAAATTATTTTAAGCGTTATTTTATCAAAATACATGTAATGTTAAATATCCAAAAAATTTTTAGCTTGTTTTATTTTGTCAATTATTTTATATAATTATTTTAAAAATACTATAAAACATCATGCGCAGACGCCGTTCGATTCAGTACGCTCCGGGTAATCGCAACGACCGGATGTATTACTTTTTCTCATCGACACCGCGCGATCGCGTTGATACACCGATAGGGCTACTCACTATACTATAACTAGCTACCTATAGCACCATCGAACATTTTAAACGATTGAGACTTTTATAAGCGATATTTTGGTAGTAAGTAATTTTGAAATATGTTTATGATTGTAATATTTAAATATTAAATGATGTAATGGTGGCAAATTTTCATTTCATACATATTTTTTTAGAAATGAGTAATGAACGTAAGCAATTCGGATCAAGTAAAAATACAAAATCGGCTTTCAACTTTGGCTCCGTGGCGGAGTGACTTGGTAATAATGAGTTGTAGCGCTGAGTGCCGCGGGTTCGAATCCCACGTGGAACAAAAATTTGTATTACCTACAAATAATTGTTCCAGGTTTGGATGTTTGTCCTTGTGAAATTAATGTATTTAAACTGCCCCCACGATGTACTTAGGAAAAATTCCTAGTGTGGAAATAACGTTATGATTAAACAAAGACATGCCATCAAAAACATAAATTGTAAAATAACCAAGTCTCGCAATGATGATACGGCCGTGCCGCTGTTTTGCTCGACTTGGCGGGGACACTACCGTGTCCCCAGATATAAAACATATGAGCGGTGCTTGAGTTGAGTAGCTCAAGGGCGTAGTGCTCGCCGTAAACGCGAATAATCCGGGCTCGATCCCCGCTAGTGTTGCCAGGTGTCCCGATTTGCGCGGGACGTCCCGATTTTCAAGGGTCTAGTGACACGTCCCGATTCACCCTTGATCGGGACGCCAAATGTCCCGATTTTCACTAGTTTATGAGATCAGACCCGAATAATAATTATAAAGCACAAAAGTAAAGTAAAGTTACAGTCACAATTTCTCGCATTACTCGCATACTGTGATATTTACAGTGAGCGTTGACCATCTGAGCTACCACGGCTCTCAATAAAGCACAAAAAGGCTACAAAGAAACCTATATTTTGTAGTCATTGTAGTTGTCCGGATATGAAAACCAAATCCCCGATTATTTTTACCTTCCGTCCCGAAATTTTACCTGCTAGACCTGGCAACACTAATCCCCGCCGACACTAATGAAATTGTTAGTTTGATGAGTTATGTTTGCATTATGAAACAGAATAAAAGTTTATCAAATGATATATAATTTATACAATACATATTTTTCAATTAGAACATATACATATTATAATATACGCAATAGGGTGAAAATGTAAAGCCGACTTCAATTTCCTAGAAGAATAAAACAATTTCCACATATTAGCCTCCGATTTCTATACACTATATAAGCCATTATATGGAAATCATTTATTTATTATTTTAGTTCCAATAGTATCAAAGACAGGTATATAATCAAAGATCAAAGTCATTCGTAGTCGTCGTTAGGCAACTATTATAGCCTTACGCTCGCCCTGACACGCACACAGAGATAACATTGTAGTGTGCGTTAATATTACGCCGTTCCAAAGCGATCGCGTAGATTTCGACTTGGACATATTTGAATATGCGCTCTTAATACACAAAATAGCTCTAATTTTACGTACTAAAATCCACTTCAAACGAATAAAACAGGAGCATTACAGTCCGCCGGCAGTCAAGTTCCCGCCATAACTCATACCTATATTTTTCGCTAGTTTCGCATAAAATTATTTTTAGTAAATTCTTCTCTATTTTTAATTGTTTAATGCGGAACCCTAATTTAGTCTTTATAACATCGGCTATTTGCCAGTGAAAGCCCCGTCAAAATTAGTCCAGTCGTTTCGGAGATCAGCCGTAACAAATAGACAGACAGACAAAAAAATTAAAAATTGTTTTTTTTTTACGTATATACTGCACTTAGTAAAAAGCTGTGATTTTAACATTACAAATAGATATTTCATTTTTTTTTTTGATTTGTATAGATACTATAAAATTTTCTTTGCAATATGAGTAAGAAGATTATTAAAAGTTGGTTATTTCATTATATTCTAGCACATCTTTACTGCAAGTGTTACAATTCTCTCAAAAATACAATATTTTTTGTGCAGAAACCAGTTAGCAGTATCCCAAAATGAAAATAAAGAAAAAATGCACCGCTTTGCACTTGAAGAAAAATACATAAGGGATGAGAACCTACGCTTGCAACGAAAACTACAACAAGAGGTTGTAAGATTTGATTGCTTACTCATACTTTCTGGGACGACAGTTATTTATTTTACATTTGAGTTTTAACTGAGATTCTTTTTAATGCTTACAATGCAACAAACAAACTAATACACTTTCCAATATTATTGAACTAATTTAGCAAACTTTCTTATTCACTGCTAAAAAAGAACTAATTTAGTTTTTTTTTTGCCACGAATGATAAAGTTTGATGGGGGAGTGATGATGATGATTTCATATAAATTTCGAAAAAATACTAAAATTTTGAAATGCAAATTGTAAATACACAACATATATTTTTTCTTTATTTGAATAATTTTTTAAACAGGTTGAACGTCGAGAAGCCTTGTGTCGACATCTTTCTGAGAGCGAATCTTCACTAGAAATGGAAGAAGAAAGACAATTTAATGAAGCTATGGGTGTGAGTATTCATTTTCAATGCATGTTAATGGCCTGTGTTTAATTTAAGTTTTTATAATATACTTAAAGCTAACTTATAAACATCAAATATCGGGAAAGTTCGTAACAAATTTGTGATATCACATCAAGTACAAAAAAAATGTAAAAATAAATTAAGCATTGAAAAATTTTCGAATAATTGATATTATTTCTAACTTATCAGTGTCACTATCACTCCCTGTGTACCTTCGAGACTATGTACGTTAAAATCGGTTTAAATGTGAAAGCGACAGACGGAGTTACTACTTTCACATCAATAATATTAGTGTAAATTTAAATATTTTTCTTCACTGTACTTTTTAATTGTGAATGACGTTACGTGGACGTTAATGTGTAAAGGTTCCAGCACATTACCAATTTGCGGGGCTTATACAGGTCACCAGGCCTCCATCTTAGTTACCAATAGTCATTAATCTTTTAAGTTCAAAATGTATGAGTATAGATATCGGTGCGAGAATTTATGAGTGCGTGGGTGTGTGTGTGTGTGTGTGTGCGTGTGCGTGTGCGTGTGCGTGTGCGTGCTCGTGCGCGCGTGCGTGCGCGCGTGCGTGCGTGTGCGTGCGCGTGCGTGCGCGTGCGTGCGCGTGTGTGTGCGCGTGCGTGCGCGTGTGTGTGCGCGTGCGTGCGCGTGTGTGTGCGCGTGCGTGCGCGCGTTGGTTTCAAAGCCATTCTTTCATAGTGCGTTTAAATTTAAAATGATTTTAATGAGTGTAGGGATAATTTCTGATGCAATTTAACTTTTAAGTACCGCGACATGCTATTTTAGTTACATAAGTACAGACGTGACGTCTGCTAGGCCATTTTCTAACGAAATCTTTTATGTTTCCTGATATTTTTCTAAGGAATATATTTCTATATATTGTTAATATATCCAATTATTGTATAAGTGAAACAAAATATAGAATTTTCACATTTATCACTAATTAAAAACATAAATATTGCAGTCTAAAATAATTGGAGGGAAAAAATTAACCCTTATCTTTTAGCAATAAAACAATAATTTTCTCTTGACAACATTTTTGCCTTAAGGCTGCCCTCTCGAAAAAAGCTTGAAAAAAGTGTGCAGATGAACCAATTTTTCGTCGGCACTTACAGAGAAATTACATCTGAAAAAATAGCTAGTAATCTACATGATATGATACGTAATTTGGTTTAGCCATAATTTTTCTATCGGTGTCCACTGAAATCACTTTACTCCTTCATTTTTTATCAAAGAAATATAAAAAAATATCTACTGCTTTGCAATACAAAATAAAATAATTTGGTGTGGTTACTTTTTAGAAATAGGTATTATTTTTATGATAATAAATTTAAAATGCGTCCCGGTTAAATACTGCGTCTATATCACCCCCGTACTCGTCCACGAATTCAGTGCGGGGCGCATCGTGTTGCTAGGTGGACGTATGCCGCGTTGCGAGAGCTCAGCACTGCAAAAATTTAGTTTAGTTTGTAAAACATGGGGAATAAGCAGAAACGATTGAAGAGCGGTCTAAAAAAATTACATACAAAAGGGTATACATTTATCAAGGTAAGTTTTGTCTACATGTTTCATAATATTAGACAGGTGCTGTTTATAAAATACCTATATTCAAACAAAGTCGTCGTAAGTATAATACTTCTGTGCCATAGAGTAGTGAACGAGTGATCATTCACGACGTATTGAAGAAGGACCATATTCACGCAATACTTTCAGTCAATACTTATTATGGTACTTATGTAAAGTATATTTATTTATTTATTTATTCTGATTCGTTGTGATTATTTATGACAAGTAAATTTTTTTTGCAGGTCATGTTTAGCTACAACTACCGACGAAAACTTTGGCAAAACTGAAAATGCTCTTGAAGTAGGTATTATGATTATAGGCAAGGTACTTGCTAGTAATTTGTTAATTTATCGATTATCGGCTTAATTATTTTCAATAATAAATATAATATGTTTATGTTTTAATTTAATCTTTTTAATTTATTCATTATATAGTTTATTTTTTCATTATATAACGGGTGTCCAGTGGCAGATTTCAAACTTTGAACAGACTTAATTTTCGAACGCAACGTAGGAGAAGAGCGCGGAGGGGGTTATTCGACGCGCAAGCGATGCGGGCTTTTTTAGTAGCCATGGATCCATGGAGTGGAGAGCACCGCGCTTTTGCCGTCGAGGTGTACTTTTCGACTGGATTTTCGCTGTCTGAAGCCCGTCGTCGATTTAATAATCACTACGGTATTCGTCGAGTTCGTGATGGACGATCAGTCAACCTGATTCAGTCTTGGGTAGCAAGGTTTAGTGCAATGGGATCAACAATAAATAGACTCAGACCAGAACCAACACCAACGGTAGCCACGGACGAAAATGTCGAACGTGTTATGGCTTCTGTGATTGAAAATCCTCGTTTATCACTTCGTGCACGTTCATCGATTTTGGGTATTAGTAAATCAACTTTACAGGTAATAATGCGAAAAAAACTTAAATTCCATCCTTATAAGATCCAAATCGTCCAAGATTTACTCGAATCTGACTTTAAATTAAGGAAAACTTACGCAGAGACGATGCTGTTGAGATTTAAAACTGCTACTCGGATGGGTAACATATTCTTCAGTGACGAAGCCCATTTTCATATCGGAGGATATGTAAATAAACAAAATTTTTGTTATTGGGATATTTCCAACCCGAGAAAATTGCATGAAGAGCCTTGACACAAACCAAAAGTCACAGTATGGTGTGCAATATCTGCGTCTGCCATAATAGGGCCTTATTTCTTCGAAAATGAACGTGGGCAAACTATAACAGTAAATTCCGAGAGATATGCTGAGATGATCAGTGATTTTTTTAGACTAGAATTACAGAATAGTCCATACTGTAACCGGAATACGTGGTTCCAGCAAGATGGGGCCACAGCTCACACTGCTAATGTGGCCATGAGTGCAGTGCGAAAGTTGTTTCCCGAAAAAAATCATATCCCGGAACGGCACCATACCGTGGCCTCCCAGGTCACCAGACCTAAGTCCGTGTGACTTTTTCTTATGGGGATACTTAAAATCTATCGTTTACAAAACAAATCCGACCACTGTGACACAGCTGAAAGAAAACATTCGAGCAGAAATCAGCAAGATTCCCCAGTCGCTTTGTAAAAAAGAGTTTTCGAAAACATGCCTTCCAGACTCGAGGAGTGTGTTAGGGTCGATGGCCGCCATTTAGAAAACGTTGTTTTCAAAAAATAAAATCCGCTATTATTTATTTAATATATTTAATAAATATTATTTACAGGTAGACACGGCCGAATCTTCTGAGAAAACATATCAACTTGAATGTCGAAGAATTCTCAATTTAAAAACATTTTATTCAAAATTACAAGAGGTATCTTCGCATGGACCTTTCAATTGTGGTCTCGGTAGCGTGGAAATTGTTTCTGAAAAACAAACCGGTTATACAAGAGAAAAAAGAAAACGACAAAGAGAAGGAAATAGAACTAAGGAAAGAAAAAGAGGTTGAAGAGAAAAATGAAGACAACGAGAACGAAGAAGAAAAAAAAGAAGATTTAGTCGGGCTATCGAAATTTCCGAATGTAAATATATGTGAACACGGAGAAATAAGTGAGGATGAAGAAGTTCAACCAACCAAAAGAATAAAAATACTTGTGAAAGAAACTTAAATTTCGGTGAATTTTAGTTATCATCTATTTGTTTATAAAAAATACAACATATATTATGACATACACTTGTGCTAATTCTACCTACTTAGCTACCTACTTTACCTACCTACCTACTTACTACCTACACTACCTACCCTACCTAGAAACGTTTCTCAGACTTTAAAGAATTTTTGATAAAAATATATTAACCGAGTTGGTCAAGCAATTATTGAGTTTTGCGCTTAGCAACACATTTAGCCATTCATTTCTTTTTTAAGCTTTAAAGATTAATAACTAGATAAACAAGTAAAGAAGAAAACAACAGCCTTCTTGGAAATCATAAGGCATTAAACTGTAGGAATTATGAAAGTTTACAAACATACTTTGCATACAGGCTTGCTGCATTGTAGTCACACATGTTTTGTACGAGTGTCACATTTGTAAGCAGTCTTGCGCTTTATTTTGTAAGGACAGGTGTGAGAGATTTTTCATGTTTGATTTCCCTCTGCTTCATTTTCTTACCTTACATTTTCTGGTGCATTTGGCCCAAGAACTCTAATTATTGACAAGCGCAATTTTCTTGGAAGATGTATATTCAGAACCCGCTGTATTTGTAAAACGACTAGAGATTATGGCTGCCCGTTTATGCCCTAAGTACTTGGCTGGTCTATTTTTATAAGTGTATGAAAATAACTGTGAAAAACGATACAATCTGACAAAAAATTGTGTCATAAAAAGTTACATAAATACAGACGAGTGATCTGACAGACAACTCACGATCTTATTATGATAAAAACTTACGGGAATCGCACGCACTCACACAGCCACTCTTCACAAACGCTCCCGGGCGACTCTCCGAGGGGTTGAGATATACGCGCGGGAACATACGTCGTCGCTAAAAAATGTAACTAGATTTTTCGAACTCTCAAAGTGTCTGGACTGACCACACGTCGGTGCTTAAAGATTAGGGCCAAGGAGTACAATATTTAATATTAAGAGGAATCGATTTGGTGACAAGGTGATTGCGTCCTTCGACACCCCGCGGTTTCGCCCACATTAAATCAAATTTTCCTGATAGTAAGAGTCGACCATCGGTCATGAACAACTGCAACATCAGGGAAATTGCAGGTGCGTTGTCAGCCTTTTTATAAGGAGGTAGCCGGTTATCAGTCCGGAAAAATCGTCTGTGGTAGATGATTCCACAAAGAACACTTGCGAGGAAGAAAACTCGTAGTGGACCGCCAAGCTTCCAAATTTTGTGGATGGTATTGTGAGTGTGTCATGATGTACGTTCTACGTTGGTGGGATTTGGCGGCTAGAATTTATACATACAA